AATTTTTTTTTTTTATTTTACTGAAATTTACAACTGTATTACATATAAAATACATCAAGTAAATGTGACATTGGTAACATGACATGTACAACATCAATTAAAGTTCTATATTAGAAGGTCCCGAGGCCATCTTCTTTTCAGACGCCTCGGAGGGTTATCAGGGATCGAGGAGAAAGCAAGGTTTGAAACGAGAGGATTCGGATGGTTCTGCAGTTTATCATGGAAGGATAGGTATCTGGATTGGGCCCACTCGGAAACATATGGAACATTAAGGTCTTTATGGATGATTTTATTTGTGACAAAGTAAGGAGCGTTGAGGATTTTACGAAGGATTTTGGATTGTAAGGATTGGATACGAGAAGAGTTCGATAGTTTAGTGGAGTCCCAAAACTCAATCCCCGTAAGTCCAAATAGGTCTTATTATTGTCATATATATGAGTCGTTTGTAATTGATTGAAAGCTTAGAGCGTTTGTCTAGCAAGTGCTTTATAAGAAATAAATGAATAAAACTCCTGAAACGTTTTAATATCATGTGGCCCGTTCTGATATATTTACGAGGAATATTTTCTGCCATTTCGTGTAGTTTAATAAGGACCTAAATTCATAATGATGTTGGTGTAGATAGGTGGACTCATGTTGAAGTTATTACATTTTTTTTTTGTTTTAAAAAAGAAATCGAAGACTCCTTTAATATAAACTAATAAATGAAATCCTTCATTATTTTCTTGAAAATCTAATAGTTTGAAAAAATCTACATATATAGCCTTATAACTATATACATTATTTTAAATTCAGTGATGTTTAAAGTGGACCGGGGATGTTGATGCCAGGGGTTTTATCCCTATTGGGACCTTTTTAGAGGGAGGAGGGGACATTAAATATTGTGGGCAATGACACTATAAAAAGAGTGGTAATAGCCTTGGACCACAGCCCAGTGGAGCGTCGAGTCCACATTTCACTCCATTCAAATCTCGGGAAACCATCTAGGCCCCGCACGCATTTGATGAGGCATAGAAATAAATAATGACTCCATTTCCAGTATATTCTTATAGAATATTATAAAATATTGAAGTAATGTATTCTCGATATTTATTTTATATTAATGAAGATTATTTTAAATTATTTTTACAAGGAGCTAAAATATAAATATCATTCATTTAAGGATTTAGTGGGTTTACTATTCAAGTAGTTAACGAATCGGAGGCAGTGGAGACTTTATAAGTAATGCTTTTATTCATAAAGTTACAAATGACTTCTAAAATACAGAGTAAATTACTATGGGTTGACTACATGAGTTCACTCCAGGTCTCCTACAGTTAAGAGTATGACATCAGGGATGCAACTACATGAGTGATTTGGTCTGAAGATCATGGGGTTTATATATTCAGGAATAGTAGGGGGGGGGGACCAGTTCTGGACGGTCTAGGAAGCGTGTGAATGAAGTTATAACTATTGGGAATTGATATCCTTATCTTTTAGAATTGATATGAAGTCTGTGAGACAGCGACCTTTTGCTGAAAGCTGTTATTGTTCCCTAAGTTTATGATAATGGGTCTTGTGTCCAGTCGGTACATTCTAGATAACTATTTCTAAGCTATCAGAGATAGCTTGACCTGGCTATCTAGTACTTCGTGCTTTTATGCTTTGATAAAAGTCATGAGAAAGGTCAATGCATGATTCACCAATTAGCATATTAAATAAAATAAAAGTTAAATTAATATTATTATTTGTTACGGATTAAGTCCATTCCGTAACTAAGTGAACATTTTCGAGTCCGGGTATTCACGGGTAATACAACAATATACGGTAACGTTATTAATTTGCATCAACCTCAATTCAACTTTGTGGACACCCAGGCTGGATCATGACGAAGTAACGCTGATGATAAAATACTACAAATTAGACCTCTAAATGTCTTTGAATATTAGATTTTCCTTCGGAAAGTTTTCAACTTAGGTATTATATGGATTAAAAAAAAAACTTTACTCTGAGACAAAGTCCCTTCAGAATAACAAAGATGTTACTTCAAATGAAGGATATTAAGATTTATTGATATTAAGTAAAATTTAAATCGTATATAAGAAAAATAGGTGAAGTAATATAAAATACTCAAGATTTTTATAATGTAGAGCACATTCCTAAACTCAGTGCAAATTACATCGAAGAAATCCAACAATCGATTGAATTCAGTACCGATGGACAAAGGTTTATGCTAAATCCTAGCGGAAAGTTAACGCTCCTAAAAGATTAAAAATAAATGAAAACTAAACAAATATACAGAGAAATATTTCCCACTTAATTGTTGGGTATTAAAACAGAAATAAATAGAGTAAACTGAAGATTCATATGTGAAGTAAATTGAGAAATAACAGCAATCTACAAAAGCCGATGAAACAGTTGAACTATCAGCGATTCAATTACTAAACAAAGTAATGCTATAAATTCCATTTATGGATCAATTGATGAATTTCCGATGTTCATCAATGGTCTGAGCACAGAGTTTAGGAATTTACCAATTCTCGGTGAAAAAAATTAATGACATTTCATGAAAAGTGGTGAGAAATATTCACGTATTGTAAAGATGGTTATCTTGAAAACAGAAGTTTAAAAAATATCATTGTCTTGTTTATTTTACATGGCCCGAAATCAATAAGATTTAGCTCATAAGATTTTTTTTTTCGATGATATATAACTGTTTATTGTTTAAAAGTAAATTAATTATTTGTTGATAAATCATTCAAAACTTGAAGGATTTTTTTTCTTGAAGGTATGCGAAAAAATTAAGTATTTTTAAAAATTTATATTCAGCTTACATATTCAATGTTTCAGGGATCTGCCCTATTTACAGGAATATTCTTTAACAACTTTAATAGTATATTGTAGTATGTTTTCAAATTCTTTAATAAAACTCCTTCTAATTATCTTCATATGGTTTCCGTACTGTATCATATTGTAAATAATTAGAAATTATACAACAATATAATATTGAAGTTAGTAAAGAATATTCCTAAAGATGGGACGGAGTTCCGAAACGTTGTATATGTAAGCTCGTTAAACAAGGTGTCTCATATGTAGATACAAATATTTTATAGGAGAGATAGTAGACTCAAAGAGCTACAAAAAAGTTCATACAAACAATGGTCCGATTTTCGACAGAAAAGTAGGAAACTGAAGTTGGGTGTTTTTTTTTTTAAGTAAGTTACGTTTTTTGTTGAATAGAAAGCGATAGCTAAAATAATATTTAATTTAAGCCATTAACTACTACTCCTAAGAAAAATAGACAACAGTTACTTCAAATAACAGTATATTTTATCATTGTAAAACCGTTTATTTTTTCTTGTTGCCTCGATCATGTAAGGTCACTTGCAACACCTACAATTTAAACTTTATTACAAAGTTTTACCATTTTTAGGAATGCTAATGCATTTTAACTGATTTGTTACTGTCTTTTAAATTTTCTTTAAGACTTAGTGCAGTAACCAAACCTCTCCCCATAGTTTTCGGATCAGCTGGCTTGTAAAACATGTTTTAAAGTCCTTTGGACATGGCAGGGCGGAGGATCAAGTCCTATTAGAAGGTAGGCAAGCGAGAACTCAATTCTTAATATGCATAGAGCTGTCTCTTTTTTTTCATGTTTACCATTTGGAACAGTGGGTTTTCATTTCTCTAAATTATGACTATTTTTGCTTCTACTCACTAACGGAATTTAGTTTTGGACAAGATAATTACTTTGGAATAGAAAGAAAGAAACTATATGAAACGGTGTATAAAGTAATTCTTTAAATCCTATTAAATCTAATTATACGAATAATATTACTTTTAGGGATAAATTTTTAATATTCTTTTCATAAGACGTTGTTATATTTTACCATTTGAGAGGGGAAGGGAAGGTTTCAGCCCGAAAACTCTGCTTGTAGGAAATCCTGTATAAGTAATAAGATATATACTTATCACAGAAAGATGATTTAATTTGTTCGCATACCTTTAAGAAAATAAAAATTATATATTTTATCATATAACTTTCAGAAACGTAAAATCTTCAATGTTCCATACTTTGTCGCAAATAAAATCATCCATAACAACCTTAATTTGCCATATGTTTCCGATTTGGTCCAATCCAGATATAACAAACTTCAATATCATTCGAACCCTCTCGTTTCAAAACTTGCTACTTCCTCGATCCCTGATAAGACACCTGAAAATAAGGTGACCTCGTGATCTTTTAATGTAAATTAATTATTGGAGTCATACCAGTGAGTAGTTTCTCAACAAGCATTTTCATGTCATTATATTCCTGATTGCACATTTACTAGATGTATTTTTTTTTTTTTTGATACAGTTGTGAAAATATGAATAAATAAAAATTAAAAAAAAAAATCAGAAAGAATATTTACAACTATCGAATAATGATAAAGCAAAACTTGTAGGTCATTGACCACTGATGTCTCCATTGTGCTACATATGAATAAAGAACATCACATTGGCATAAAGCAGCAACTTATCTTATTTGTACTTCCATCGACAACACATTTTCCTCGAGCATGCTGTCGCATTTGTGTTAGAGAGTGTATAAGGAAACAGGGGGGGGGGGGGAGGGAGAGAGGAGAGGGGGAAGGATGGAGCGACGTTGCTGCCCTGAGTATGCAAATGAGTTCCCCTCCTGTACCAATATCATCTGAATATTTTCTCCATATCATAGGGCCTACATAATGCTGTATCCGCCTCCTCTTATCAATAAATTACAAATGTGTTGTAGTATGATAATGGCGGATGGGGAGGGGAGGCGTGTGTGTACTCTGCGGGAACTCACCTCGGCTTGCGGTAAATTTTAACGATGTTATGGAAGCCGAGTTACTCAACCGTTCTTATAAAGGCTTTAAAAAATAATATTCCGGAGTGGGTACACCCCCTCGAAGCGCCTATAACGTAAACTTCTGGACTTTGCATAAAAAGTATGGAGATAAAAATTTATAATAATGATAAAAAAAGATATAAGTGACTTACAGGTTGTAGTGAACGTCGGCCATGTTGGGTCGAAAGCTGAGCGCTATCCTGAAGGCAGTCTCGGCCTCCTTGGTTCTCCCCTGAGAGCTCAGCACTGAGCCGAGGTTTCCGTAGGCTGAAATAATTATTTAAAAAATGTAATAAAATATATTAAAGTAACAACAAATTAAATTAAATCATTCGAACAATATTTTTTATCAATTTTTTTTTTTAACGCTGGATTAATATAATTGTCCGAGAGACAAATCCGTTTTCATTAAATTATTAATGGCTTCATCTTATAGTACATATGAATTTTATACCAACAAAAATATCAAAAATGGGCGTTTCATATTAATTAAATAATTTTATTGGGTAATAAAAACCCATAAATACTTATTTGCTTTCCATTCGATACGTAAGATAATTTTATTACAAAATATGTTGGATGGATGTTAGAAATTTGAAGAAAAAAAATTGTCTGTACCATGGAATATAACATAAATACAATACTAATTACCACATTGTACTTTTCTGTCATCAATGTTTCCAATAAGGTTTTATTTAAAAGAATATACATATTGATCAAAATTATGATTTAAAAAATGTTCCTTTAGTCAGCAACTGGAGAAAATGATGGGATTGATGTTGAACTACGCCAGTTCCCAAACTGACTCCTACTTTAGGTCTAATTTTTAAAATATAAATCTGTTAACTAAAACACATTTGCGTGAGTATACTTAACCTATACCGAAAGTAGTGTACGAAATTTGATAAAAACGATGTAAGACAAAAAAATTTATCAAAATTATAATAATAGTTCTAAGCGGATTAACAATCAAACACCAACCCAAATTTGTTCGTCGTTGTCTAAAACGTAAAACCGAGTGAGCATTTTCGAATCAGAGGATAAATATATCTTTAATTCCCTCCACATTTAATAAAACCTTCACCAATACAACCCAGGAAAGATTTTAGGTTCAGTATTTTGTTAAAGAGTACTTTTTCAATGTCAAGGGTTGTGCAAGGAGATGATAGGGACAGAATCATGCACAACCGCCTAGTTTTTTCCCTTCATAAATTTTATTGAGGCTGCGTTCGCCCCAGAAGGGTCTCCCGATCTCAGGGTCGATCCAAAAAAATTGAGCAATGTCCTTGTGGCTATTTTAGTTGTAAAGGTCCGGAAAAAGAATACGCTTAGGAAATATCGTCGCCGGGAAACTGGATAGGGCCACTTCAACTCGGCATACCAACTGGAGACCTAGAAGACCTGTAGACTTCAAAGATGAATCTAATGAAACAATTCATTAATCTCTTCAATCTGATCTCAAACCCACCAGACAATCCACCATATACAAGGCAGCCACAATCGAAGTGAAGAAATATGAAGATTTCTAACAGAAGTGTTTCGTTTCTAACCTTGCTTCCTCTTCCATTCCTGATAACCCTCCGAGGCGTCTGAAAAGAAGATGGCACCGTGATCTCCTAATGTAGTCATATCATTAGAGTGCTACCATTGGGTAGTGACTCAGCAAGTGTATTCATGTCATTATATCAATTATGTCCAAATTTACTTGATGTATTTATGTAATACAGTTGTAAATGTCATAAAGAAATAAAAAATAAAATAAAAAAATTTAAAGATACAAGGGTGGGTGTTTTCTTCAGGGAGATTTCCTTATTACTTTTGTTTAGAAAGTAAGTTTGAAGTTTTGATTTATTCATCTAAAGTTTGTTATTTCTTAGTCGTAAAAATGAGCTACATAGTTGTAAGTTTTTTATTAATTTAAAAAAAATATTGATCCCATAATTGAGTGTCTATTATTGGTGCAATATATGCCGCCAGTATTTCTTAAGTTTTTCATGAATAATTTACTAATTCACTGTATAAAAAAACAGATCCATAAAATACTACATTTTCTGAGAGTTTAACTCATTTGCAAAGATCCACTATCAGAACTATAGCTCAGATTCACAAGAGTGTTGAAACTTTCTATAAAAGTGTCTATTATTGGAACAATTACCTTAATTATGATCAAGTTTCTTCTATCTATAAAGTAATACCCAAACCGAATAAAGAGATTCAAATTAATTCAACGCTGTATTACAAATTAAATTAAAGGATCAACCTGGAATACCGGATTTTTACGATATCAGATTGGAGGTAATCGAAGACGGGCCTAATCTGGAATTTCGGCAACGCTTCCAGATCTGGTCATTACCATGCTGAGGTGCCCCGGGACCGAGAGGGTCTGAGGCTACTTGGATATTTTTGAGCCGGTGAACAAATTGAACCACCCGTCCCCTCCCCCTCCCCCCCTCATCTCCCATAGTAGGGACCTATCGTGTTCCGGGCTCACTTCGTTAATGAGCGGTTTTTTTCCCTCTTTAAAGGTAAACTTTTTTTTTTTTTTAATTTTTGCTCCCACTCTTTTCCATTCATTTCGTTCGACAAAAAAAGTTGTTTCATTACGGTTTTAATGGTCTATTACTGTTCAGTATCAATTCGATCTTTAAAAAAAATTATTATTTTTTTAAATTGCTAATTTAAAACATAAAAACTAATTTATACGTGTAATACATTTTCCTAATCTGTTTTTTCTCTGATGATCGGTGTCCTAATAAACTATTATATCTCATTATATTATTTACCTTCAACTATTATAATTTTTATTTACTTGATTTGGAATTGTATATTTTAATTATTTATTATTTTTAAAGTATATAAATTCATACATCCTATATTTTTTTTTTTTTTACTTCATTTCTTCACCAAAACTTTTTGTTTCATTTGGTTTAGTTTTCCACCAAACTCGTCTTTTCGGCTATACAAAGTTTTCCCCAAGCCTGGGAAGAGGGCGGTGAATTAATACCGGAGGTATTACACTCTGAAATAAATGCGCCGAAACCTGGACTCAAACTCGTAATCTTCATAATATCAGACTGCTAGGCAATGCGTGTAATGCAAACGCGTTATTCCTCTCTTCACCAAAACCTGTCAGAAATAGTAGTAAGGCGTTCATAGGTGTGAGTGAGAAAAGATCCCAGCGGTATCCCTTCCTATCTTGATTTTAATATCAAAGTAAAGAAATGCCTCATCCAGCTTCTTTTGAATCTCCTAAGCGTTTTTTTTTTTTTTTTGGGCACATTGATTGTGACCATGCTTTGGAAAAAGAGTATTATGTCTGTTATGGTGAAATCTTTTGTAGAGTGTTCATATGTGGTAGTAATAAAAAGTGACGGTCTTTATGTAAAATAATGTTTGTGACGGACCATGGTTATGGTATAGTCCTAGTTTTGAAAGTTTTTGACTGAAATGTTTGTGGATAACGTAAGTAGATTTTTTTTACTGTGTCGTGAAGCCTAAGTCATAATGGAATTGAGTTTTAAATAAACTATTTATTTATTTAGAAATATAATAATCTGTCACGTGGGCAATAATTGATGGAATTAAGTAGGTAAATGTTATTGTTCAGTTTCAGTTTTTTTTTTCGTTATGGTATTGTATTTTGCCCTTGTTTCTACGTACTATATTGCTGTTACTTTATTCATTTATCTTTTCTGTAAATATGGAGTGAATGTACTCTCCGAACTCTATTATAAATCTTAATCATTAACGGATACAGGTTTTAATTTTGGGGAGGGCTTCAGCACGAAAGTTTTGTTTTTTATATATATATTAGGATAATTACTTCGGAAGAAATAAAGAAACTAACTACCTATATGAAATGGTGTTTAAGCGATTCTTTAAGTATTAATAAATGTAATTAGACGAACAATAATACTTTTAGAGATAATTTTTTTCTTTAAACGTGGTTATATTTTACCATTTTGGGGGGCCTTAGCCCAAAAGCCTCGCCTCTCCCGTAGATCAGCCAGTGTCCTTAATTGAGACAGAACGTAATAATACTTCTTATAATAAGATAAACAAAAGAATCTCTTTTAGTTTTATTTTCTGAACGTTTTGAAATAAGTGGGTATAATAGTCATAATCCGAGGTTTTGTTGATATATGGACCTCATGTCATTCTTCTGTCAAATGTCAAAATTTAAAACCTTGGAAAAAGTTTATTGTTGTAAAGATCAATTGCTAAGGCAGACAGACACATATTCTACCTCTCTCTCAACAACATGTATATTTATAAGCACAATTTGATAACTTGGATTAATAAATGATAATGGCATGACGGATATGAGGAAGTGATATAACTCAGCTGTACATCTCTTAGGTCTTTGTATGCTTCTTTAAATCAGGGAAGGAGATCGCTCATCCAGCTCTTCTTTAATCTCTTCCTAATGGGTATATGAATGGTGGCCAAGTCGGTTATAAGTCTGTTGTTATGTCCTTGTAGTTTAATATGAAGTATCTATGTGTTGTTCGATAGGTGGTATTCGTAAGTCTGTATGTTTTGTTGCTTACGTACCAGAGAGCTGCTGTTATTAGTCGTAAAATTTTGGACTGAAAAGATTGCAGTGTTTGTGTGAGTCTTTTTTTCTGAACCGTATATGTGTGAGACGTTTAAGAATGTATGTGTATGTGCTTAGTTTTTGTGTTATTTGCAATTTTGATTTAGAAAAAATGATAGTGCAGTATTTTCAGTATCTGGTTTAATGTCTTTACTTTCATTTTATCGTGTACATCCAAGATCATTATTTTGTCAAATATTAGTCCGAGAAAACGTATGTACTGGGTCCGTCTGAGGAATTTGGTTGTCGCTGATATAAGTTGGTGGCCATGTGACTCGTCGAAGTATAGAATTTATGTGTTGTGATATGTCATATTTTTTAAAGTAAGTAAATAACAAAATTATTTTTTTTAAATATTTCAGTACTGAATTAAACTAACACACCGTTCAAGTTATAGACCAGACTTGGTGTATAGAGGTTTAATGATAAATACATATTTGATATTCCCAAGAGAGCTTTATGAGCCTGGCATAAACCTGCCTAAGTTGGTAGAAGTTTGTGAAATACCTGCGTATGCATAGCGCCCTCCCCCTCCCTCCCTCCTGCAGCTTTAGGCTCAACAACATCAATAAATTATTTTTCCTGTTTTATGGATTCTGTGGAAGCGATTTATAGAGCTAATTTTTTCCTTATAAATTCTACAGAGGGGTGAGCGGAGGAGAGAAGGTTATATAACTTGGAAAATACTTGTTTTTTTTTATAGCAGTCGCGTAATATAAAAAAAAAAGGAGAAATATACCGGCCATGTACAAGATTCTAGCGAACAAGCTAATAAAAAAAAAAAAAAGCTGCCAAGTAAGGTCAGTATAGCTTCCTCACCGAATTCACCGACATTTTCCATCAGTTAGAACAAAAGTAATTCAAGAAGAAATATAAGAATATGAATGAAGTTAACAAAATATAGGAAATGAAGGCGTATACATACTTAAAACTTATCGATGCTTACATTCTACACTTCAATTATAACTAGCTCTAAAAGATTTGGAATAAAACTCCGTACCACTTTTAAGTTTCAGAGGGAAATCGAGACCACAAACAGTTGGTTGAACTTCAAAAGGAACAAACAAACTCACAAATATGACGAAAAATGAGGTGATTTTTTACAGTCTGTGCAAAATTTAATTAAAATTTACATTAAGGATAGTAATAGTAAATTTAAATATAGTATAGTAATAGCAAATTTACATATAGGTACATATAGTAAAGGAAAATCGTATGCTTTAGTGAAAGCTGGTGAAAGGATTTGGCAAAATCTATATTGGGGCATCTAAGTTTCAACCCCCACAATCACTGAAAATTACATGAAGTTTTTTGTAACGGCTGTAGGTGTTATGCCAGTATTATGTTTACTACAAAACATCCAGTTTAAATTAACTTTTTTTAATAGTCTGAAATTGTATAACTTCATACAATACAATGAGCATAAACTCCCTTTCACATGATTAATACCTTCCAGATTTCTCAGCTATTATATTTTTAAAAGTTATTTAGATTAATTTTAATTGTAGAATAGAATTAGAGTAGAATACTAGGGAATTTTTATTCTATCCTTCGCATTTTCTTCAACTTTCGTTACAATCGAACAAGCCGTTTTCGAAATATAGGGGTGTCAAAAGCAATACGCTTATAGATTCGAAAGCGGAAGTATTTTCTGAAAGTAAGCGATGGAATTTTCTGAAATAGATATCTATTGATTTATTTCCTTACTTCCCTCCAGCTTTGAGCCAAAAGTGAACGTACGATTTTTAAGATATAGACGTATCACGAAAAACATGTTTGGGCATATTTAAGAGAAAGACCGAACTTGGCATATTTGATTGCAGACCGAATGCAATGAAATCGATACAGCATTAATTTTCTACTAAAACCTATCTCCCTTTTAACTTTGAATCAAATTGAACGAGCCGTTTCTGAAATATTGGCATAGCTAAGGAAACACATTTGCGCCAGCGTAAGCGGAAGTATATGGAATTTAATGAAATTGATAAGGGACCATCTAGACACCAATCCGCATATTCCTCGAAAATTTCATAAATATCAGATTAACATTAGTAGGTGAAATGCTCGTTACTTATATTTCCATAGTTATCTAAAGATTGGAAGTAATAAGTAAATACAGTTTGGGAAACCTTGTTCTATATGCTTTCAAATATTTAATAAAAAACTATGTTTAGGATTTTATTTATTTATTTATTATTACACACACGTATTTTAAAAAAAATGATGGATCAACCCTCTTCAAAACTCGATTATTCGTTTTGAAATCATTCGTGTTTCAATTAGCTGAAATGCTTCCAAGAGTTTCCAAGAAATAAGCATACAAAAAAAAAAAAAATACTTTGATAAAAAGGCTTTTGATTCAATTGACAAAGTTAATTAAACCATTTATCAAGAAACGGGTATTTGAAGTTTTGAAACATACTTTCAAACAATAGCATGTGTTGTATTGTAAAGATGTATTTTAGCTTCATGGAAATACACTTTCCAATTCCGTAAATACAGAATAATGAAAAAAAAAAAGGAGTGAAATTCAAACATGCCCCTACATGTTTCTCTTTTTTTTAAAAAAAAAAAGAAGATTTGTACAATTGTACAGAATCCAATAACTCCTAATTCCTCTAGTGTTGATGATAACGTTCAAATGTCTCCTGATAAGACCCTACTGATAACGACCGTTCTGGTCTGAATGGAAGACATGGCTCTTTGTGAAGACGTGAGTATTGAGTCAATACGCCCCTTTCTCTAAACTACCTCATGTCGCCGCTGAATTTCAAATATCACCTTCAAGGAAATGTTTATTGCTTATATTGAACAATGAATAAATGCCTTTTTTTTTAATTATTTAAATGATAAGTAAAAAAATAA